ACAAATGTATTGGAAAATGAATTATGATGCCACAATGTGTTATAATCGTATTCAATAATTTTTCTTGTATTCAGAAATAATCCACTCTGGCCCACTACATTTTTTCCTATTCTATCTGAAACCGAGTTCTTGTGCGGCGATGATATTTAGGTACCTCTTTAAACTGCAAAAATAAATCACATCAATATTGATAGATTTTCGCTTTCTAGGAATCTTTATCGCGCAAAATAACTTTATATGAAAAATTTTAATAAATATCATATTAAATACGTTAATATTACTTTGACCAAGAAATTTCTTTCTTCTTAGTACTGAAACTCAATAGACGTCAAGGTATTTTTTATCGCAATTTCACCATTACTATATTCAATATATTTGCACTAGTCAAGATGAGGAAGTCAAACCATTTAATTGCACATAAATCTTAAAGTGTCAAAAAAAGTAAAACTTTTATTTGAGAAACATTTAACAGTGACACTAAAAATAGCGCACGATGACAACATCTACCTACATAAATGCTTGAAAACAAATTCATTGACTTACATAGCGAGCATACATACACTTATACATACATTAGGAAGGCTTGTTTGTTTATTTGCTTGGCATGCATTGGGATATCTTATAAAAAGTGCGAAATATATTCCTTTATGAACTGGAGGATTTTATTTATTTTTCCTGGTTCCTTTAAAAATATAACTCTTTCTTTTTATGATAAACAATCTTCGAAAAATATGAAAGCTAGTTTTGTTAATAATCGGGACATTTATCAGGTAGAGCCAACCCAAGACGTATACTTATTTTCAACGTAGGACGGATGGTATTGAAAATGGGCGAAATCGGACAACAACCACGCCTACATCCCATATAACGGTAATTTGGGGAAATACAAAATCTTTGATAAATCAGTAAATACTGAAGATAATAATTTATTCAAAATANTTCAACGTAGGACGGATGGTATTGAAAATGGGCGAAATCGGACAACAACCGCGCCTACATCCCATATAACGGTAATTTAGGGAAATACAAAATCTTTGATAAATCAGTAAATACTGAAGATAATAATTTATTCAAAATAAAAAATTAACTCGATTTTTGGACAATTCTATAAAAGGATATATATATATATAGTGGCATCCATTGAACATTTTTGCTATAGACCAGTGATACTAGAGGCATTTAGGATATACTAAAATTGAATACTTAAGTGCGGGTGCTAAATACTAAAGTACTAAGGTATTTAGTAGGATTCCAAGTATTAAACGGTTCAGAAAAAGAGAATAATCCCTGGTCCGGGTAACATCTAAATTAGAAAAAAAAANGTATTTAGTAGGATTCCAAGTATTAAACGGTTCAGAAAAAGAGAATAATCGGCCATTTTTTCAATGTGGCAGACTGGTCCAATCCCTGGTCCGGGTAACATCTAAATTAGAAAAAAAATTCTAACAGCGGCCGCCCTTCAATGAAAAATGCTCTCATAAAATTCATTTTTGTGTAACAACATCTACCGGCACATTGAAACAGAAGCTCAGCCAAACACTTAGCAAAAGGCTAAGCGCCAAAATGTTATTGTTATGGCTGCAGTAGTCAATAAAAAATAGTGACTACCAGTGTTGCCGCGAATCATTTTTAGTGGTAGCCAAAATCCTTAAAAAAAAAGGGATAAAAAAGAGCTAAAAAATTCCTTGTGGCTAAAAATGGTAGCTAAAATTTTTTACTTACATATACATATAAAAGTATACACGCAAACATTTTCAATAAGTAATGGTATAGTAAAACAATGAACACTGGAAAAAAGCTAATATTTTATCCAACCAAAAACATTTTTGTATAATGCTGGTACAATATTTATTTCTTTACAAATGAGGACGATGAAAGATCGAAATGATTAGAGCTGAAATTTCATAATTTTTCTACCATTTTGTTAAACATTGTTTTTTGTTTTTTTTTTAATTCGCAACTGCAATATCGTGAACTTAATATTCCGCAAACACGGCTTTGACTCATATACATAGTGCAAGAAATTTCCAAATAGTTTTTGAAGTCGCACCAGCAGCTGGTACAATCACACCACAAGAACATACACGGTCAATCGAATTGATGGGCCATTTAACAAATTAATTAATTAATTAAAAACATTGGTGTGAAAGACGCTTGGCGTCGCACACAGCAAACCTTGGCTTAAAAATTCAAAAAAAAAAAAAAATTACATCCATATAAAACGTCTGTTGGGATCATAGTTACTACAACATTTGATGAAAAATTAACACGAAATTTTTTTAATAGCCCTATGCAATTCGACCAGCCCTAATTTTACGAACTCAAGTGCATATTTATAACAAAATTAGTGAGAGTGCTGAACGCAGAGTAGACTCGATCGAAGAATAGCATGGAATAGGTGCTTGTTTCGACGACGCTGACTATTTTTATTCATAAAATCTCTATTTTTGGAGGTATTTTCAAATCGGTCCAGCTCGCTTAAATCTTAATATTTTTCCGAAATATTTTGGTGGACGTCTTAAAATGTTAATAAATTTTGTCATCTCGGCGGAAAAGCCGCAACTTTTTTTGGTGATGCAGCCTAATGTACATACATACATACAGTATTGGCCAATACAATAGCACTCATATAAACTCAAGTTTAAAACTTTTTAAAAGGCCGCAAAAAAGTGCAACAAATTTTCAGCCAAATTTCAAACTTTTTTCTCAGGAGCGGTAGAATTTTTTTGAATACACAGTTTTATAGCCCATTCAATTTTAGTCTAATAATGTGCAAGTTTCAAGTGGCTAAAAATTACCGTTGATTTTTTAGAATTTTTTTCGCCGAGGATGTTGCGGGTTTCA